CCCTTCCTCCTCCTCCTCCTCCTCCTCCTCCTCCTCCTACTCCTCCTCGTCCCTCTTCCACCTCTTCTCCTGGTCCTTCTCTTGCACCTCCACTGGTTCCTACTCGCTTTCCTCCTCCCCCTCCTCCTCCTCGTCCCTCCCGCGAGGGGGGAGAAGCCGGGGAGGTCACTGGGGCAGGGGGGCCAACGGGGGAGGAGAGAAAGGGGGGGAGCTGACAGGATGACTGACAAAGGGGGAGATGGGGAGGGACCATCAGCAAGGCTGAGCCTAAACGGCGTGTTCCGCTTTCGTGTTGTGCTCGGTGTCCCTCGCTCTGTCTTCGATTCGCCCTTTACCGCAAAACGACATCGGGACGAGAACGGCCCACGAAATCGCCAAAACGCCGTTCAGGTCCAGCCCTGACCAAACGAGCGACAACAAAAAGAAACGGGTCGATCGCGAGATGGGGCTCACACGGGCCGCCGGCGCGGCACGCCACGCCGGAGAGCGAGGGCGCCCGCGCGCGACCTCGCGCGGGCAGCTCAGGCTGCCCGTGTCGGCGGAGACGGCTCCACTCTCGCTCGCCGCGCAGATGGCGAAGGTCGGGTGGGGGAGAACCGACGCGGAAGGGGAAAGAGGGGCGAGAAGTGGAGGAGCGGCCATGAGGGTAAGCACACGGGGGAGGGGGGAGTTGCTGCTCCTCGCGCTCACGTCCTCCTCCTCCTCCTCCTCCTCCGCAGAGGATAAGGGGAAGAGAAAAGAGGATCGGGAGGTGGATCCGGATCCAGAGTTGGAGGAGAATTCAAAAGGAGGGAGCACGCGGGAGGACGAGGAGAGATGATTAACCCTGTGCCCCCAACAGTCACAGTGTGGAGAAAATGCACTTCAGGGGTCCAGAGGTATAATGAAGTGTCCCCGGCAGTTCGCAGCATAAAGGAAGAGGAGGAGGAAGAGGATGAGGAGGATGAGAGGAGGAGAAAGGAAGGATGAGGAGGAGGAGGAGGAATGACCTGAGTCTTTCGGGGTGTACGGACGCACGGAGGGCGGAAATGGAGGGGGAGGAGGGGAGGCAGCAGCAGGAGCATGAGCAAAGGGGAGAACGAGCAAGGTCCTGAGCTCCGTACGGGGCCACGGACCTTGTGGTGATGATGATGTTGTTGATGGTGACGATGACGATGGTGTTGATGATAATCCTAATGGTGTTGGTAATGACGATGATGATATGGCATGATGATGATGGCGATGATTCTGAAGATGATCATGATGAGAAGCTTCGATCTACGCTTCATACTTTCCCTGTCGATAACGAAGTTCGGCCCCGCCGCCCCCCACCGCCGACCACGACTGTCCTGGCCTCAGAGAACCTTGAGGATTGTGGGAAGGGGCGGGGGCGGCTTGATTATCTGGGGCACGGGATTAGGAGGGCCAGGACAACCCCGGGGGGGAAGACTCGCACGTCACACATCAACACTGCAATTGGGGGGAGGCGCCCATCCTGGGAGACCGATTTGCACGCAGGCAGAGAATGAAGAGCTTCGCCTGGGCAAGCGACAGGGTACCTCTGCCTCAAGACTACATTTCATCACCCTGGACCTGGCGGACTCTGATAGCTCACGAAGGGCCGCCAGGCTCGTGGCCTTTAGAGCCGACCGCTCCGCGACGGGCAGGTCATGGCCGTAGGAGCGGACGACAGAACTGCTCCTCCTCCTCCTCCTCCTCCTCCTCCTCAAGCCCCCAGGACGTCCTCCTCCTCCTTCTCCCCCTCCTCCTCCCTCCTCCTCCTCCCCCCTCCTCCTCCCTCCTCCTCCTCCTCCTCCTCCTCCTCCTCCTCTCAAGTGTGTGGATGCTTCGGCCTGGCGCCCCGTGGCACGCTGTGCCCCAGGGCCCGGCGCCCCGCCACACCACGAGGGGCGTGCGGCGTGTACCGCGACCGTCGCCCCGCCTCCCAGGCTGTGCGGGGCGACGGGGCACCTGTCGTCGCGCAGGTTTTCCTCGGCGCGCCCACGGGGACGCCGCCGACACTACGGCAAACCCACAGCAAGCCCGGCGCCCGCCCGCCCAAGTCGGCGCCGCCGGCACAGAGGCAGACCCCTCGGCGAGCCCGCCGCGCCCGAGGCGGCAGCTGCCCTGGTGGCCGCGGCGCCCTCCCCAGGACGGAAGGCCGCGCGTCGGCACAACTGGGCATGCGACATCTGCCCATGCGTCTTGGCACGAGGGCCGCCTCAGTGCGGTAGCCAGCAAGCCCTCCTCTTCGCCCTCCTCTTCGCCCTCCTCGACCCCTCGCCCTCCTGGTGGTGCCCTCCTGGCCGTTCTCCTCCTCGTCCTCCTCCTCCTCTCTTCTCCTCCTCCTCCTCAGCCTCATCCTCCTCTTCCTCCTCCCCTGTCTGGTGCCATCCTCCTCCGCCAGGACGGCCTCAGTGCCGCCCTCCTCCTCGCCCTCCTCGCCCTCGTGCCGCCGAGAGGCGCCTTCGGCGTCGGAGCCGCGCCCGCTGCCCGAGCCCGCGCGGAGGCAGCGGCGCACGCAGCGGCGCAGACCGCGCGACGCGACCCGCAGGCAGCGCCGGGGCCACGCCTGGCCGCGCGCGCGGGGCGGGCGCCGACCCCCCCCTCTCTCAAACGTCATCACCACAACAGCAATCATCACCACTACCACCACGACCACGATCATCACCACAGCCACCACACAACCGTTATCATTGCCGTCATCACCCTGATCAACCTCACCGGCATCATAATCAGCAGCAGCACCACCGTCGTCGTCACTGTCATCATCACAATCATCATCGACTTCGTCACTGCCATCGCCACTGTCATCGTCATCATCCTCTTCCTCCTCCTCCTCCTCCTCCTCCTTCTCCCCATCATCATCATCATCATCATCATCATCATCATCATCATCATCATCATCATCATCAACATCATCATCACCATCATCATCCTCATCCTCATCCTCATCCTCATCCTCATCATCACCACGATCATCAACACCATCACCATCACGATCACCATCAGCACCAGCATCATCATCAACTACCTCATCATCATGATCAGCATCATCATCATCATCATCATCATCATCATCATCATCATCATCGACAGCACCATCATCATCAACAGCATTATCATCATCATCATCATCATCATCATCATCATCATCATCATCATCATCAACAGCATCAACATCATCAACAACCTCATCATCATCCTCATCATCAGCATCAACAACAGCATCAGCATCGTCATCATCATCATCATCAGCATCATCATCATCATCATCATCATCATCATCATCATCATCATCAGCATAATCATCAACATCATCATCATCAGCAGCAGCGCGCTCCCCCCCCCTCCCCCGTGCCGCTCCCCCCCCCCCGCCGCGGCCGCGCCCTGGGCCACCGAGGTCGAGGCTCGAGGTTGGAGGATGATGGATTTGTTAGGAAGCTGTGGCGCCCTCGATGGTCCTTCTAAAGCAACCTGGTGCCTCTCCAACTCCATGGCCGCACTGACGAGGGGATGGCGGTGGCAGCGGCAGTGCCGAAATGCGCCCGATGTTCAGCAAGGCATGAGTGAGCGAACCCGATTTGGGTGGCTGTTGCTCCGGGGGGGGGCCTGTGCTCAGGGGAGGCTGCAGCAACGCCCAACGGTGTGCTGTCAACTGGGACTGCAGGGCGAGCGATTTCTTTCATCAGTGCAATTCAACATTGTCAGATGTACTATAGGCGGCGCGCGGCCGCAACCTTTCAGGCTACTCACTCCAAGACATCGGCCTCTTCCAAACGAGTGAGCGGGTGGACGACAATACATGGACGAGGGCTCCACTGTCCAAGCCTCCAAGCGGTGGCGAGCTCGGGGGGGAAGTGAGAAAGGGGCGGGCCTTCTCAGAGGGCTCGTACGTTCCCCGGCCTTCTGAGAGCAAAACAAAAAAAACACCATAAGCACATACTTTTGACGCTCCGCGTGGATGTCTTGGATCTGAGCCGGGCCCCCCGGCGGCGCCTAAAATTTATATTAGTTTTAGGTTGGCGTGTCCGCCTGCAGCGTCACCGTGGACGACAAATGAAACATACCCCAGAAAAGATTCAAACATATTCTCCACAACAGTTGAACGTCGTCCCCACACTATGTGTTTGACTGTTCTGGAACGTTCCCCCTGTCTGGGGACGTGCCTTAGCTTATGGCTTTCTTCTCTTCTACGGGAGGAGTTGCCAAGGGACTTCCCCGACAGCGGAACACGGCCCCTCCCAGACCACGCGAGGCCACCCTTCGGTTCGCCGGTCGCGGCGAAGGGGTGCGCGGGGCGGCCCGCCGAAGCACGCGGCGCGAGCCGCCGCTCGACGCGGGGCGGCCCTGCCCGACGGCGGCGGAGAGGCGGAGGGGGGCAAAAAGAGTTGCTCCAGACTTCGTAACAAAGGGAGGGGGGGCCTCAGTTCGGGGGGGGTCTCTTCCAGGCTCTCTTGGAGGGCCTGGGGGGGGGTCTGGGGACGACGTTCTGGAGGGTCCTCCCACGGGGGAGGTCCGAAACGGCTTGTCTTGGAGGGTCCAGACCCCCTCCCCTTCTATTACGACATCTGGTGTGCAGTCGACCCGTATCAGAAGGATGCGCGGCAAGGATGCGAGGGCCTCGGAGGCCCATGCGAACGTGTTTCCAGCGAGGTTGGCCGGCGAAGGTCGCCGAGGATGGGCAGCAGGGGCGAGGATGCGAGGAGACCTTTGGGAGGGTTGCCCGTCCTTGCTGTGTGGGTTGACGCTGAGCGCTGGCGAACGCGCAGGCCAGGAGGCCCCAGAACCTCCTCGTTGGAGCCCCGCAGAGGGATGCCCCTCCCCTCTGGAGGGCCCGCTCGCTTTTCCCTTGAGAACCCGAACGCCAATACCTCAACCCTAGCACCCTACCCCAAACACGTCGACCCTGACGCGCTAACCCCCAACACCCTGCCCCGTGACACTCTAACACTCTCTCTCTATCCAACGCGAAAACCATAACAGCCGAACATCTGAACCGAACCACATAACGCCAAGACTAAGGGAGGGAAAAAAAAGGAGGATGGAGAGATGCTGGTGCCCGTAGGTGCTTGCGACGGTCACAGCACCGCGGCTCGAGAAGCTAGAAGTGCTCCACTGTGCTTTTGCAGCGCCCACGATTGACTACTTCCAAGCTGTCTGAAGGAAAATGTGCTGGTACGGGCGGACGCGCGCCATCGTGTGACTAGAGGCCTCCTAGATGGGGTCGGAGTAGATGGGGTCGGAAGATCGCGCCGCATCGCCGATACATCGGCGATACATCGCCGATGCATCAGCGATGCATCGGCGACATCCGCGATGCATCGGCGACGCCAGTATAGGACATCGGGCTCCACATCGAGCCGCACTGGCGAGGCATCGGCGATGCGGCGCGACCCTCCGACCCCATCTGGGAGGAGGAGGAGGAGGAGGAGGAGGAGGAGGAGGGGGAGGAGGAGGAGGAGGAGGAGGAAGAGGAGGAGGAGGAGGAGGAGGAGGAGGAGGACGAGGAGGACGAGGAGGAGGAGGACGAGGAGGACGAGGAGGACGAGGCCGCACCGTTCCTCGCGTGCACCGCGCGGCCTGGGCTGCCTGCAGCCAAGACGCGCACCGTGCGCCGCTCGGGGCAGACGGTGCAGCCCCGAGGGCGGCGAACGCAGGCCATCGACGCCGAACGTGCACGCGGGAGGGCCCGGACCAGCTGGGCGACTCGTGACGGGCCTGTTGTTCCAACACCACAACCAGAAGTGGGAGGGCGAGGGGGTCCTCCTCCTCCTCCTCCCCCTCCTCCGCCTCCTTCTCCTCCTCCTCGTCCTCCTCCTCCTCCTCGTCCTCCACCTCCTTCCCCCCTCCCACTTGTGGTGGTGGTGGCGGACCACAGGCCCATCAAGCTCGGGCGGGCGGGCATGCGGGCTGGCACCAGGAGGACGCAGAGACTGCGGCAGGGAGCAGGGGAGCAGGGGAGCGGAGGTACAGGAGATGGCGAAGGGTGAAGGGGCCCTGGGACACACAAATAAGTACACACAAATAAACAGATTCCCATTCTTTACCTAACAGCGAAGACTGATAGGTTTCTAGTAGGGTCAAAAGAGAGCATCATGACTCCTCAGGGGGGTCGGGGCGGGACCCAGGGCGGCTGCCGTCGAAGCCCAAATCGCCTGGGACATCCTCGCAAAATCGCTCTTGGCGCTGCTAGAACTCCATTCCCGGCGTACATTTTGGATGCCCGGAGCCAACTGTAGGCCACTTCGTGGTCTTCGAGTTCCCAGAACTCCATTCCCGGGCCACATTTTGGATGCCCGGAGCCAACTGTAGGCCACTTCTTGTTCTTCGAGTTCCCAGAATTCCATTCCCGGGCCACATTTTGAATGCTGAGGCAGGCTGAGGCTGAGGCTGAGGCAGGCTGAGGCTGAGGCAGGCTGAGGCTGAGGCCGAGGCTGAAGGCAGACTGAGGCTGAGGCTGAAGCAGGCTGAGGCTGAGGCTGAGGCAGGCTGAGGCTGAGGCAGGCTGAGGCTGAGGCAGGCTGAGGCTGAGGCTGAGGCTGAGGCAGGCTGAGGCTGAGGCAGGCTGAGGCTGAGGCCGAGGCTGAAGGCAGACTGAGGCTGAGGCTGAAGCAGGCTGAGGCTGAGGCTGAGGCAGGCTGAGGCTGAGGCTGAGGCAGGCTGATGCTGAGGCAGGCTGAGGCTGAGGCTGAGGCTGATGCAGGCTGAGGCTGAGGCAGGCTGAGGCTGAGGCCGAGGCTGAAGGCAGACTGATGCTGAGGCTGCAGGCTGAGGCTGAGGCTGAGGCAGGCTGAGGCTGAGGCAGGCTGAGGCTGAGGCTGAGGAGGCTGAGGCTGAGGCTGAGGCTGAGGCTGAGGCAGGCTGAGGCTGAGCTGAGGCAGGCTGATGCTGAGGCAGGCTGAGGCTGAGGCTGAGGCTGATGCAGGCTGAGGCTGAGGCAGGCTGAGGCTGAGGCCGAGGCTGAAGGCAGACTGAGGCTGAGGCTGAAGCAGGCTGAGGCTGAGGCTGAGGCAGGCTGAGGCTGAGGCTGAGGCAGGCTGATGCTGAGGCAGGCTGAGGCTGAGGCTGAGGCTGATGCAGGCTGAGGCTGAGGCAGGCTGAGGCTGAGGCCGAGGCTGAAGGCAGACTGAGGCTGAGGCTGAAGCAGGCTGAGGCTGAGGCTGAGGCAGGCTGAGGCTGAGGCAGGCTGAGGCTGAGGCCGAGGCTGAAGGCAGACTGAGGCTGAGGCTGAAGGCAGGCTGAGGCTGAGGCTGAGGCAGGCTGAGGCTGAGGCTGAGGCAGGCTGATGCTGAGGCAGGCTGAGGCTGAGGCTGAGGCTGATGCAGGCTGAGGCTGCAGGCTGAGGCTGAGGCCGAGGCTGAAGGCAGACTGAGGCTGAGGCTGAAGCAGGCTGAGGCTGAGGCAGAGGCAGGCTGAGGCTGAGGCTGAGGCAGGCTGATGCTGAGGCTGGCTGATGCTGAGGCAGGCTGAGGCTGAGGCTGAGGCTGATGCAGGCTGAGGCTGAGGCAGGCTGAGGCTGAGGCTGAGGCTGAGGCTGAGGCCAAGGAGCAGACTGAGGCTTTGAGGCTGAAGCAGGCTGAGGCTGAGGCTGAGGCTGAGGCTGAGGCTGAGGCTGAGGCTGAGGCTGAGGCAGGCTGAGGCTGAGGCTGAGGCAGGCTGATGCTGAGGCAGGCTGAGGCTGAGGCTGAGGCTGATGCAGGCTGAGGCTGAGGCAGGCTGAGGCTGAGGCCGAGGCTGAAGGCAGACTGAGGCTGAGGCTGAAGCAGGCTGAGGCTGAGGCTGAGGCAGGCTGAGGCTGAGGCTGAGGCAGGCTGATGCTGAGGCAGGCTGAGGCTGAGGCTGAGGCTGATGCAGGCTGAGGCTGAGGCAGGCTGAGGCTGAGGCCGAGGCTGAAGGCAGACTGAGGCTGAGGCTGAAGCAGGCTGAGGCTGAGGCAGAGGAGGCTGAGGCTGAGGCAGGCTGATGCTGAGGCAGGCTGAGGCTGAGGCTGAGGCTGATGCAGGCTGAGGCTGAGGCAGGCTGAGGCTGAAGGCAGACTGAGGCTGAGGCTGAGGCTGAGGCTGATGCTGAGGCTGCAGGCTGAGGCTGAGGCTGAGGCTGCAGGCTGAGGCTGAGGCAGGCTGAGGCTGAGGCTGACTGATGCTGAGGCTGAGGCTGAGGCTGGCAGGCTGAGGCTGAGGCCGAGGCTGAAGGCAGACTGAGGCTGAGGCTGAAGCAGGCTGAGGCTGAGGCTGAGGCAGGCTGAGGCTGCAGGCTGAGGCTGAGGCTGAGGCTGAGGCAGGCTGAGGCTGAGGCTGTGACTGCGACTGCCGTTGCCACTGCGACTTGCATCGCGAATGCGACTACGACTGCGAGAACAGCAGAATTCTACAACTGGATTATCATCCGAATCTTAAGGGGAATGCTGCAATGCTTCCAGATATGCTCCTACACATCGCTGTTAGGTTGCTTTGCCGGGATAATGTCCTGTGTTTTTTGTTGGGTTTTGCCTCCCCCCCCACTTCCCATGCTTCTCCCATACTTTCTGGGGGATCGACGATGCATTGTGTCGCTGTGCTTGGTTCCCCCTCCTGACAGGGAGCCCTCCCCTGCCGGGCGCCCCCCCCCCCGGGGCCGCACTGGGGGTGGAGCGCGCTCCGCGGGAGGGGGTGCGCCGAAGGGGGGCGCGGCGCCGCCAGGCCGATCCGGCCAGCCGATGGCCGCCACACGGAGCTCTCCCTTCGCTCGCCATCGCTCGGACGCCCATTCCCTGTGCTTTTTGTTTCGGTTCCGTGCGTGGTTTTCTCGCCAGATGATCCAGGATGCTCCTCGATGGTCCCCACCGAGGAGAAGATGCACGCGTCCGAGCGATGCCAAGTGCGGAGCGCGAGCCAGGCGCGAGAGGTGCACCGGAAGGGGGGCGCGGCGCCGCCAGGCGGGCTGGCCCGCCGATGGCCGCCACACGGAGCTCCTCGCAGGGCGGGCGCCGCGCGCAGGGCTATCGCCGAGCTCCGCGCGGCGCCGCTCCAAAAACCGAGCTGGCACCGAGGTGGGGAGCTCGGTGCGGCTGGATCTCCTTTTGTTGCGGTGCACGGCACGCGTAGAGGGGGGGGGGGCCGGGAGGAGCCCAGGGCCCGGGGCGGTCGACTCCCACGCCCCCTGGGAGGCGCAGGGAGAGCGCCCTGCAGTGGCCGGGAGCGTGCAAGGCAGGCCCTGGGTGTGCGGAATGCGAGCGGCCTCGCCGGCGGCGGTAGACCGATGCCCCTCTGAGGGCAGGCCTGCAGGGAGCGCGGCGAAGTGAGGAGAGAGAGAGAGGGAGAGAGAGAGGGAGAGAGAAGGAGACAGAGGCTGAAAGACAGAAGATCGAGAGAGAGAGAGAGAGTGACAGAGACAGAGGCAGAGAAACAGAGAGCGAGTGAAAGAGAGAGAGCGATACAGAGAGATAAGGGCAGATAAGGGGAGAGAGAGAGAGAGAGAGAAGCAGATAAGAGGCATACTCAAAAAGCCGAAAAGCCCGTCGCAATGAAACAATCAGAGATCGCGGCACGGCGGATCTCAGACATCTGCTGTCGAGATGGGGACCACTAGAGCGGCAAGGAACTTCCGAAGACCAAGATCGCGGCACGACGGATCTCAGAAATCTGCTGTCGAGATGGAAGCCACTAGAGCGGCAAAAAACTTCCGAAGACCAACTGCGTGACACGCAACAGCGTCGGAACGCAGCCTGGCAATCGGATCATAGTACGAAGTCTCTTCGGGAGATCTCGGCACTACCTTTCTGCATGCATGCCAGAACTGAGCTGGTGCACTGTCGGAGTTTGTCACAGGCAGCTACATGTCTTGAAACGCCAATCGATGAATGAAACGCGGCAATGGTGTCGCTTCGCCCGGCGAGTCCATAACGCAAACCATCACCGAACATGTGCAACACGACAACACAGCATCGGCCGAGCCATCTCCGAATATGCTTAAAACTGGCGCACCCGCGAGATCGCGCGAAGCGCTCGCCACATCATATCAGATGCAGCGTATGTCCCTCTTTCTGCCCAGTGCTATTCTGCATGGAACAAGGAACCCATTCACGTCGGAGACAAAGAAGGACCGCCCATGGGAGGGAGTCCTAGGAAATCGGCCATCGCGGCTTGAGTGTGCGCGGCCAACGCCTTCACTCCGCTGGCCCACGTTACGGGGCGGCGAAGATGAGGCTTCCCCTACTGATCAAATCCGCCGAACCTGTCGGCGTGTGAGGGGCTTGTCCGTTCGAGTCGTCATCTCCGTCACTCATTAGTCGTCGTCTCTGTCATCCCCTTTCCTTGCGCCCCCTCCTTCCCTGGGCCCGTCGCCGCTCCCCCCTTTCCCTGCGCCCTACTCCTCAAACTCTGGGCCCGTCGCCGCTCCCCCCCTCCTTCCCGAGGCCCTCTTCCTCAAGCGCGCCAGCGAAAGCGAAATTGAGTAACGTCGTAATTGACTCGAAAGGAAGCCCCTTCCCCTGATCCCTCCCCCGCCGGGATGGTCGCGGGGTGGTCCTGGGGGGGTCCCGGGGTGGTCGCGGGGGGGTCCTGGGGGGGTCCCCAGTTCAGATACGACTCCCCCCGGGGGGTCCTGGGGCTTACAGAAACTGGGAAACGGGCCAAGAGTGCCCCAAGAGGCCCCCGAGACGGTCCAAGAGGACCCCGAATCGCCGAACGATCTGCCCACGACGCCTTGACTGCCTCCAGACGGCCCAGGAGGCCTGCAAAACGCCCCAAGAGGCCTCCAGGAGCACACCCAAGAGGGCCCCAAGAGGAACAAACACTGAATTCCCAGTTATTTGTGATGCATTTCGGCGCTTTCGCCTCTTCCGCTTCCCGACGCTCCAAGACGGCCCAAGAGGCCCCAAAGGTCGCTCCAAGACAGCCCGCCCACGAGGGCTCCAGGAGAGACCCCAAAAGGCCCAAGAGGGCCCCAGGACGGCCCAAGACGCCTCCAAGATGGCCCAAAAGGCACCCAAGACGGCTCTAGGAGGGTGCCCAGACGAGGGACCAGAATGGACATGTCGAGCCCTCGGCCCCGAGAGGCTCCCATTAGGTCGGGCCTGTCCCCCTGCCTGAGGAGGAGGAGGAGGAGGAGGAGGAGGAGGAGGAGGAGGAGGAGGAGGAGGAGGAGGAGGAGTACTCCTCCTGTAGAGGGTCAGGCCCGACTTCAGGCTCCCAGGATATAGGGAAACAAAAAGCGGCATAAACATGCAAACTCGGAGGTCTGCGCGGATTTCTCGGAGCGGCGCTGGATCCCCCTTCCCGGCGCGCGGAGCGCGCCAGGGGCAGCGCCGGAGGCGCCGCCAAGGGGCCCCAGCGCCGATCCAAGAAATCTGCGCGGAACTCCGAGTGTTTATGCTTATGCCACTTTTTGTTCCCCTACAGGAGGAACCAAGAGGCCCCCAAGAGGCCCCCAAGAGGCCCCCAAGAGGCCCCCAAGGAGGCCCCCAGGAAGCCACGATGGGGCCCCCAAGGCCCCCAAGGAGGCCCCAAGAGGCCCTCGAGAGGCGCTTCGACGAGACCCCAAGAAGCATCCATGAGGACTCTGACCCACGTCAGCGTCGTTGTCGTCGCCGCCATAGCCGTTGTCTAGGGGAACACACAAAGTGGCATAAACATAAAAACTCGGGGGTCCGCGCGGATTTCTCAGATCGGCGCTGGGGCCCCCCGGCGGCGCCTCTGGCGCCGCCCCCGGCGCGCTCCGCGCGCCAGGAAGGGGGGTCCAGCGCCGATCCGAGAAATCCGCGCGGACCTCAGAGTTTTTATGTTTATGTCACCTTTTGTTCCCCTAATTGTCGTCGTTTCAGGGTCGGCGACACCCGCCGTAAGGCCATCGCAGAAGCTGCAAATTCCAACTCGGCAATCAGAAACACAACGTAACTCTTGCAGCAAACTGGCCATCCATTCGACAAACGTGCCTTCTGCTGATCCCATTCATCAGGCATCCGAAGCCTGGCTCGATGTCCCAATGACGGGGAGCGTGAACCTCTTGAGGCGCGCGACCCCCCTCCGAAGTGCAGATCCTCCCCCCCACGCTAAGTATACATCCTCTGAAAGTTTAATGATGAGCTCTGCTGCACGGGAGTCCGCGAGCCCGGGGCCACGATCCTGCGCACACTCGCAACGGAAAGATCTGATCCGCTGGGCCCATGCTGGCAATGTGCCACGACTCCTTACAACTAGAAGGACAATCCCGCGCTCCCAGGGCACAGACCTCCAAACACACACGCACACACCTACCAGCCCACGCAGACCAAACCACGACCCCTCGCACAGAACATGGTTTCGCCTTCCCAGTGCCACGACCCTTCGTGAATGATGATTCGCACGCGCCCCCCACGGCAAGAAATCCATTGTCATAACACATGTTCTGCGCTTCCGAAGCCGAGACCACGCGCAAAGTACGATCCGAGCGCACGAGGCCAAGACCACGAACACTTACCCAGGCGATGTACCCAACCCTTGCGCAACGCACGGCCTGAATAGCGGGGTAGACTTTCTAGGGTGTGATAGCGTGGCAAGAAGGTATATTGTCTGCGAGCGTTACTTCGGGAGGCTCGCGAGCTGCGCGACACGCGGGACAGGGATCGATGGACAGGGGCTTGATGGAGGTGATTCGCTATCCTGGCTCGAATGGAGCGAAGGACGAGGACTAAGAGGACAAGGCGGACGGGGATCTCGAAACATCGGCGGGACAGCCTCAAGGGGACATGGCAACAGGAAGGGAGGAAGTGACGACGAGGGACAAGCAAAGGAAGGAGACGTGACGGCGAGCAGCGCGCCAGCTCTGCCGGCCGTTGGGCCGTGTTCTGGACATGTTACAGTGCGGGAGGTAAAGGCGAACAGGCGCACCACTAAGGATACTCGGAGTTTGAGTCGGGCACCCGCTGTGCTCCACCCCCCTATCAGCCTTCGAACATGGCGGCAACTTCGCAGACCGCAACCGCCCATGGCTGGCGCCACTTTCCGAACCTGGGTAGGTCACTCCGCTGGGCCCCCCAAGAGCCCTCAAACGTGGCGACGGTTACGCAGATCACAGCCCCCAACGGATAGCGAGGTCTAATCTGAGTCTTGGTAAAACGTCACTCCGCTGGACTCCCGAGAAGCCCTCGAAAGTGGCGACAGTTTTGCAGATCGCAGCCCCCCAGGGATGGTGAGGTCAACTTTGAGCCTGGTGGACTCCCCAGGAGACCTCGAAAGTGGCGGCAGCTTCACAGATCGCAGCTTTCCAGGGATGGCGAGGCTCGAGGACTAATTTAAGCCTGCGGCAAGTATCCACTATGCTGGCCCCCCCAGCAGCCCCCGAAAGTGGCGGCAGTTTCACAGATCGCAGCCCCCCAAGGATGGCGAGGTCTGATTTGAGTCTGCGGCAAGAGCTCATTATGCTGCCCCCCTCCCCAGCACATCTCGAAAGTGGCGGCAGCTTCACAGATCGCAGCCCTCCAGGGATGGCGAGGACAAATTTGAGTCGGCGGCCAGTACACACTATGCTGGCCCCCCAGCAGCCCTCGAAAGTGGCGACAGTTTCGCAGATCGCAGCCCCTCAAGGATGGCAAGGTCTGACTTTATGCTGCCCCCCCATCAGCAGCCCTCGAAAATGGCGGCAGTTTCGCAGATCGCAGCCCCGCCAGAAATCGCGAGGTCTAATTTAAGCTTGCGGCAAGAACCCACCATGCTGCCCCCCCAGCAGCCCTCGAAAGTGGCGGCAGTTTCGCAGATCGCAGCCCCCCCAGGGATGGCGAGGTCTGATTGAAGTCTGCGGCTAGTATCCACCATGCTGGCCATCCCAACAGCCCCCGAAAGTGGCGGCAGTTTCACAGATCGCAGCCACCCAGGGATGGCGAGGCCGCAGGCAGGTGCGAGAGAGGCACAGGAAAAGAAGTGATACAGGTATATATATATATACACATATATATATAAGGATGTAACAACAAACCGAGAAAGAGAGAGAGAGAGAGAGAGAGAGAGAAACAGGGGTCAACAACAAGCAATGCGCAAAATGCAAAAGAGTGCAGGAGGGAGCCGGGAATGAGGAGGAAGGACGCGCGAACAGTGAACTGTACAAAACGGATGCCCAACCAAAGGAAGGTTGGAGAAAAAATCTGAGGTTGGGGGGTGAGTCCGACGTGAAACGGAGACCCCCCCCTACCGGGAAATCGATTTCGGTTTCGGGTTCGTGTCGTGCGTGCCGTGCGTGCGCGCGTGCGGGCGAGGCGAAGCTGATTGGGCGGGCTGGAGGAAATCCTCCTGTGGCTGGGGCGCGGCCGGACCAAATGATTCTCCTCTGGCGGCCGGTGGCCCGCGGTGTCTCGCTGGTGTCCCGAAATCCTCCTGTGGCTGGGCCGCGGCCGGACCAAATGATTCTCCTCCGGCGGCCAGTGGCCCGCGGTGTCCTGCTGGTGTCCCGAAATCCTCCTGCTGGACCAAAAGTCTCTCCACCCGGCAAACGGTGCCCCGCGGTGTCCCGCTAGTGTCCCGCTGGCGTCCCGCCGTGGCTGCGGCGAGCTATCCAATGCAAGTCTACATGCAAACCGACATGCAAACCGAAAAGCACATCGAAATGCAAATCGACATGCACATCCAAATGCAAATCGTAAGGCGCCGTGGTTTGCGTATTTTAAAAGTCGGCGCCTGCGGCGAGCTTTCCAATGCAGGTCGACATGAAAATCGAGATGCAGATCGAACAACAAATCGACATGCACATCGATATGTCGACATGCAAATCGAGATGCATATCGAAAAGCAAATCGACATGCACATCGAAATGTAAATCCAAATGCAAATCGACTACTCACTAGACTGCGCACCACAGGCATCGTCAGAACAGCAGTCACCACTGTTGCCCACTGCCGCTCCCCCATCCTCCTTATCACACGCAGGGTAGTCGTATAGGTATAGATTAGCGCCCCCAGGCAACGATACACGCTTACAAAAATTGCCCGCACTCTCAATTCCAGGATCCATTTCTCCTGCGGGACAATCTGGTCGCTCCCCCGAAACCACGAACTGGCTGCTTGCTTCAGTAAGTTCGCGCTTCCGTGTTCACGGGTCGTCGTACACGGACAGAAGATGGCTCCGCGCGCCCAAGGTCGCAAACTCCCCGTGCAAGAACTACAGGTCCGCCTTCCCCAGGCCCCAGCCCCCTAGGAACAAGGAACGGCGACACCAACACCACCAGGGCGAGGAGATGCGAGGAGGCACGGTGGGTCTTCCTGGTGGTGTGGTCCCCCCTCTCGCTCGAGACATCCTCAGCCTCCAGCGCGGGGAGTCATCGTGGGCCTCCTCGCTGGAGGTGGGCCCCCTGGCGGTGCTGGTGTCGCTTCTCCCCCTCCGAGGCCCCCTGGTGTCTGTACAGGACGCGCTTGGCCAGCGCCCCCGAGGCCACGGCCCCGAGACGGGGTCCGCGCTCCCAGTCCCCAAGGCCACTCGCACGGGAAACCAGGGAAGCCGCGCTCCTGCAAGGATCGCCCAGAAGGAGCAGGGGTCCCATGCCTAGTGGGCCCTGGAAACGACGGGGCCGTTTTTTTACCGGTTCCATTTTGCCGTTTTTGTTGCCGGTTCCGACGCCGTTTTTTTACCGGTTCCGTCGCCGCTCTTTTACCGGTTCCCGCTCCAGTTCCAATCCTGGAGCCGTTTTCGTTGCCGTTTCCTGTCTCCGTTGTTTTGCCGTTTCCATTTTCAAAGGACACTTTTTCGGAAACGGTGAAAAAACGGCCCTGCCGTTTCCGGGGCCCACTAAGGAGCAGGGGTCCCGTGTACGCAGAACTTGCACGGCAAGCGCTGCTCCAATGATTTGCACAAAGAATGTCGCTCGCGCGCGGCAGTGCCCTGCATACGGCATGCCCTTCTCACGATTGAAGGCCGCGTTTTCTGAGTGTGGAAACAATGAAGCCCCACGACACCACTCTGAGACTTGGCAACGCTCTGGGGCAACACGCTGCGCAATTAGATGGTGTTGACGATGGCCGCCGCCGCGATATTCCGATTCATATATTTTTATAGGGCCAGGACGCCCCCCCAACAAAAAAACATCCCGCACCTCCCGCCCCATCGAATTTGGCCCAACCTGGGCCTCTCGAGCAACCCTCCAGACGACCCGGGAGAAGCCCACGAGAGCCCAAGACGGCCCCATGCGGCTCCAGGCGATCCGGCGCGCTCCCGAAACGACCCCAGAGAGCCACCTTCCCCTAAAAGATCGTTCCAAAACGTCCGAAGAGGCCTCCAGGAACACTCCCAAAAAGGCCCCAAGAGGCAAATGTCACTGATTCGTTGTGGGTTTTTGATGAATTGTGGGGTTCTCATCTTCTCGGCTTCCCGACGCTCCAAGACGGCGACCTTCTGGGCGTCCGAAGCCGCCTGAGAAGCTCGAAAATCGTCCCGCAACCATCCGAAGACAGCTTCCAGGCAGTCCAAAAGATCTCCAAGACGGCACAACAGAGTTCCAAGATGGCCTAAGAGAGCCCCATGACGGCCCAACATGACCTCAAGACACCCTCCAAAATAATCCAAATCGTAATCCGGTCATTCAGGGCGACCACGGTTGGAGGCAGGGTGGCACGAGGAAGCTCCCAGAGGCTCCTAGAAGACGCCCAGAAGGCCCTCAGAAGGCCTTACGAAAGCTTTAACAAATGTTGCGAGGCCCCCAAAGTCTGGCTCTCCAAGGAGGACCCTCCGCAAAAAAAACTGAAGGGATGTGGAGAAAACGCAAGCTATGGCAATAATGAAGAAAACGAAACATGGAGGAAGGATCTGGGGCCTTCGGTCGAGCTCCTTGTGGGGCCACGGAACGTGTCATGGGTGAGCCGACATTGGGGTGGGACCGCATGCGAACCCTGCCGCTGGGGCCTTCGGTGGAACTCCCCCCATATGAAGTCATGAAGCATGTGATATGGGGTGTGGCGAATCGGCATGCGGAGGGCAGATGCAGGGATGGGAGGAGGGAGGAGGAGATGAGATCAGGAGGAGGCGCGGGGCGCTATCTCGTCAGAAGGGGGACACAACACCACAGGATGGTTGGGAAACTGTGCGTGCTCGTTCCCCCAGGCCACGATGCGTACGTCTCCGCGCACCCAGGGGTATCCCTCGTGCCTATGGCCCTATGGCCCTGCGCTCCTGAGGCCACAACCCGCCGGGTCGTCGACGACGACGGCGACGTCCCCAGACCCCCCTCGAGCAATGACAAAAATCCGCCGACCCCTTGTGGGTTTCTAGGCGTGTGAGATTGTCCCCCCCCCATAACCCCCCCCAGGGACCCCAAACTGGAGATTCGACCCCCCCCCCCCCGGCCCCCTACGAACGCGCCACCGGGGCATGGAGGGCCCGAGGACGGGCCAAGAAGGCCCCAAGAGGCGCCCAAGACGGTCCAAGAAGGCAACGAGTCGCCAAAATACCGGCCGAAGACGACGACAATGGCCTCCAGACTGCCACTGGGGCCTTCGGCGGAACTCCATATGGGGTAACAAAACGTGCAAGGGGTGCGCCGGAATTGGGGGTGGATCCGCATGCGAACCCTGACATTGAGGCCTTCGGTGGAGCTCCCTACGGAGCCACGAGTGTGAGGGGTGTGCTGGTATGGAATGAAACTGCATGCGAACCCTGCCACTGGAGCCTTCGGTGAGCAACTTGTGGAACCACGAAACGTGTGAGGGGTGTACCGAAACGGAGGGTGTAGCCGCATGCGAACCCTGCCACTGGGCCTTCGATGGAGCTCCCTACGGGGCCACGATCCGCGTGAGGGGCGCAACGTGTGGGAGGAGCGGGAGGAGGAGGAGGAGGAGGAGGAGGAGGAGGAGGAGGAGGAGGAAAGAGGAGTGAGGAAAGCGGGGCGCTGTCTCTTCAAAACCAAGACCCGGCACCACAGGATGGCCGGGAATGAATTAGCAGGCGGTGGAAATAGATTGGGCCTCCGCCCGCCACTTGAAAGGGAAAAAAAGGCGAAATTACACAAGAGAAAAGTCCCAATCAACGGATGGTTTTCGCTAAGGAGATCGACCGGGAACCCGGGGGCCCGGATCCGGTACCCAGAACCCACCGAAATCGGCCCGGTCCAATCACCGGGAACCGGGGAACCCGGAACCGGGAACCTGGGAACCCAGCCTGCTACCAAAATCGGCGGGGAACTGTCGACAAATCTTTCGATTTCCGCTCGGACCCCAAGCACTGATTGAGGAACCACTCGATCATTGAAGTAGGACGGCGCCTAAAAGAGGTTGGGATCCGAAAATCCCAGAAAGTACATTCTGTCGACGACCGGCGTGTAATCTGCTAAGACATCCCCCGGCCCCGACCCCCGATCCCCTTATCACAGACAGGCGCGTACTCCCCCCCCCGTGCTCTTCTACGCCATGCCATGCCGTGCTCTACAATGCATCGCGTACTCTTTCGGGATCATTGCCCTGCTCGACATCCGACTGTGCGAGTAGAGAGGGGATCTACGCCATGGTAAGGGATGGGAGGGAGGCACCAAAGACCCCCTCAGTTTGTAAAATAGAGTTTCGCAGTCTCGACCTTTCGGGCTTCCGTCGAGTCAAGAAGGCCCACGAAGCCTCCAAGATGGCCCAAAGACGATCCAAGAGGTCCCAAGAGGGTCCCAACCATGGCTCAAGAGAACCCCACGATGGCCCACAAGGCATCCAGAACGGCCCCAAGACGACCCAAGAGGGCCGCTGGAGGGACCCACGACAGTCGTAGAAGGCTCTTCGGCGGCACTTCGGAAGCTCCACGACGACCCCCCCATAAGGGCAAGAGAACCACAGGACTGCCCAAGAGGGCCCAAGACGGCCCAAAAGGCCCCCAAGACGGCCCCACAGGACCTCCAAGACTGCCCCACAGAGGGCCAAGGCAGCCCCAAGACGGCCCACATGAGCTCCATGAGAGCTCGTCAAGAAATGCAAACAAAAAGTGTGTCATGTGACGGCCGCCCTCTTCCTCCTGCTCTTCCTGCTCCTTCTCCTCCTGGTCCTCCTCCTCCTTCTCCTTCTCCTCCTCTTCCTCCTCCTCCTCCTCCTCATCATCAGTTTCACCATCACCATCACCATAGCCATCACCATCATCAGCAGCATCATCATGCCCCGTATTCAGCAGCAGCATTAGTATCATCATCATCACACTCAGCATCAGCCTCATCACCATCAACAGCAGCATCATCAACATCACCATCACCATCACCATCACAATCATCACAATCATCACCATCATCATCATCAGCAACATCAACAACATCATAATCATCATAACCGACATGCTCATCATCATCATCAGCATCATCGACAGCACCATCACAATCCTTCTCCAAATCAACATCGACATCACGATCATTACCATCGTCGTCATGGTCAGCATCATCACCATCACCATCACCATGAGCATCGCCATCACCATCAGCATCATCAGCATCATCAACATCACCCGCATCATCAACAGAAACAGCATCACCATTATCATCGTTGTCATCATCATCATCAACAACATCAGCAACATCATGATCATCATCACCATCACCATCAACATCATCACCATCTTCATCCTTATCCTTATCCATGTCCTCATCCCTCCTCCTCCTCATCCTCATCCTCATCACTGTTCCTCCAAACCTGGAGACACGAACAATCATACGAAACGCCCTACCGTGACCCCTCGAGCAGTCGCCACCCACAATGCTTGGCACGGTGGCTTTACTCGCCGCAAGCAGCTGGATAATGTTGACATGCTAGGGCCCACGATGTGCGAGAATCAGCGTTGCGCGTCTGCGCACCTCTACCACCAGGACGTTCGTGGCACTGCCCGAGGACAAATTGCCCTCACTGCGGAACCACGCTTCGCTGAGCGCGTCCACGGGGAGATTTGTCAGCGGTCTGACGGCCCTCCTTGCACACGCGACAGTTACGCGATCGATTTCAGGGCAAAAGGAAAATGGTCGGGAATCCCACGGATCCGAGGCCATGCGCATGCGTGCACTGCTGGACGGAGAAGGAGCGAAGAACGACACGGCGAATATCGACATGATGTATGTATGTTTGCATATAACGTGCGAGGTCAACAAACAATCGTTTGGGAGCGGACATCAGCCAGCCAGTTGAACGGGAAGACACAACTAACGCACAAGGCTCTAATGAACGCTCACACAGACGTTCACGAGATCTTCCCCATGCCGGAAGTTAAGAAATGACAACGAATTCTCCTACGGACCTAGAAGGCGTTCATGCTCCCGTCACCGCTGACCCCACACTGTCACCGAATCCCCTATGCTCGCATTCGCCCCACCTCATACTTTGAAGGGACATGCAGTCGCGGGACGCCCAACGTGCCAGGGGCCTACCCAAGAGCGACAGCGTCTGTCGCCATCTGCAGCTAATTCCCGAGCGCAGTGGGGTTACCCCAGAGGGATCCCATCCATGAGTTCCGCACGCATGGCATCACTGCTCATGAAGCCATAGTTTTGCCACGCATCTCCTTGAACACATGCTGGTTGGGATTCCTCCTGTCCTACCCATTTCGGCGCTCCTGGAAAGTATGTGCGTGAAGGCGCTAGGAGCAGATGCTCCACTCCGCCTCCATCTACTCTTCCGAGCCAGAAAAGTATGGATTGATAAACCGGCCCTGGGTGCGCGAGCACCGCCGCACTGGGACCAGCTCCTCTACTAGGTCACCGCGCTTTTCCGAGCGCGTCCACGGGCAGCGGTGGCAGCGCGTGCAGGCTGCGCCGTCCTTGCAGACGCGGTCGCCGCGAGAGAACTTGCAGGGCGGGGCACACGTGCTCGGGTGGCCGACGGACCCGATGCTGTGCGCATGCGCGCCCGCAGGCGCCCGGGCCGCGCCGCCTGCAGGCTCACGGGGCCCAGGCCGCTCCTCCTGGCGGGGCTGGCGGCGGCGAGCCTCGTCGCTCGGGGTCCGACCCCCCTCCGCGGGCCTGCGGCGCAGGCGCTCCGAGGGCAGGAGCGGTCGCGGGGGCGGCGGGGCGGGGCTCCCGGTGTGCGGCGTGCGCCACTGGTGCGCCGGGAGCGGCGGCGCCGTGTGCTGCGATGCCCCAGCTCCAGGCTGGTCGTTCTGGAGGCACCTGGTTTCCACGCGTGGCGCCCGGGGCCTGGACCAAGCGTGGTCCTGGAGGGTCCAACAAATGGGCTAAACATCATGCAGTTTCGGAAATCCGCGCGGGTCTCGTGGATCTGCGCTGGGCCCCCCTCCCAGGCGCGCGGAGCGCGCGAGGGGCGGCGCTGGGAGCGCCGCCAGGGGGGTCCCAGCGCCGATCCGAGAAACCCGCGCGGGCCTCAGGAAATTCATGCCCTTTGTCTTCCGCCGAGGTGTAAGTCGGGCCTGTCCACCTACAGGGGGACTTTTTTTTTAATATGTATATATATATATATATTATATTATATATATATATATAATCCAAACATACTCCCCAGAGGCTAACACATACTAACAAAAATCGTCTCCACATTTTTCTGCCTACTTTTGAAGATTCCCCCTGTAGAGGGACAGGCCCGACTTAAGCCGAGGTCCGCTGCGCCGTCTTCGCGGCCGCGGGGCGTGGCGACTGCTGAGCTCTCCTCCGAGAGCTGCCGCCACGGCTCCCTGGCCGCGCCCGGTGCCACCGCTGCCTCGGCCGCGCGCTCCGGCCCGCGCGGCGCCGCGACCGCAGGGCTCTCCTCCCGGGCGAGGCGTAAAGACGCGAAGGGTTAAGTCGGGCCTGTCCCCCTGCAGGGGGATTTCGGGCGGAAAATTTCAAAGACTCAGAAACTAATCAAAGAAACATTCAAAAACAGCCAAACATCAGTCCCCATACTATTTTGTTTACTGTTTCTGGCGGTGTCCCTGGAAGGTTTCTGGAATAGTATTGTTTTTAAATGCGGGGCCCCAGACCCCCGAAACAAACAACGAAAAGACATAAACATTGAAAATTTGTCGTGGGTCCACCCTCCTCGGAAAACGCCCGCAAAAAATATATTTAAAAACCAAGTTGGGTGTTTGTTTCGTGGGTTTCCCCACCCGGAAAAACCCACCAAGAAACACTGGAAAACCACCCGAGAAGACGCTGAGAAACACATAAATGCCTTCAAATGGGGGGTCCCCGGCGGGGGCCACGAGAGCTGTCGAATACTGGGTGCTGTATTGGAGACGGACGCTGACAAATACTGGATGTGATGTTAACCGCGGACACACGACGGGCGGGCGGCGGGCGGGCGGGCGGCGGGCGGATCGGAATGTGAACAAAAACCCTCAGGGGTCCCCCTTGCAGCGAAATGCTGTTGAGTACTGGGTGCTGCGTTGGAAACGGTAGCTGTCGAGTACTGGGTGCTGTTTTGGAGCCAGACATTGATAGAACAAGATGATACGTTGAACGCGGAAACACGGCGGGCGGGCGGTGGGCGGCGGGCGGAGCGCTGGCGGGCGGCGGGCGTGCGGATCGAGATTTGAATGGACCTCTTATGGTTTCTCCCTTGCAGCGGGATTATTTTGAGTACTGGATGCTGCGTTGGAGACGGGAGCTGTTGAGCACCGGGTGCTGTGTTGGAAACGGACGCTGTCAAATACTGGGTGTTGTGTTGGACGCGGAAGCACGGCAAACGGGCGGCGAGGGCAGGCGGCGGGCGCATCGGGATGTGAACACAACTCCTGAGGAGCCTGCTGGCAGCGGGATGCGGTTGAGTACTGGGTGTTGTGCTGGATGCGGAAGCACGGCAAACGGGCGGCGAGGGCAGGCGGCGGGCGGATCGGGATGTGAACACAACTCCTGAGGAGCCTGCTGGCAGCGGGATGCTGTTGAGTACTGGGTGTCGTGCTGGAGGCGGGAGCTGTCGAGCACTGGGTGCTGCACTGGAGACGGACGCTGTTGAGTACTGGATGCTGTGCTGAACGCGGCAGCACGGCGGGCGGGCGGCGGGGGACGGGCAGCGGACAAGCGGCGGCGGTCGGGCGGGTGGCGGCAGGGCGGAGCGGGATTTGAGCAGAACCCCTAGGGATTGGTATTTCTCCCTTGCAGCGGGATGTTGTTGAATACTGGGTGGTGTGTTGGAGACGGTAGCTGTGGAATGCTGGGTTCTGTGTTGGCGACGGACGTTGTTGAGTACTGGATGCTGTACTGCACATGGAGGCGCGGCGGGCGGGCGGCGGGGGACGGGCGGCGGGCGGGCGGCGGGCGGGCGGCGGGCGGGCGGATCGGGACTTGCATCAAACTCCGGAAGGTTCTCTCTGGCAGCGGGATGCTGCTGAATCCTGGGTGGCGTTGGGGAGGGGCGCTGTTCAGCACCCGGTGCTGTGTTGGAGGCGGACGTCGTTCGAGTCCTGGGTGTTGCGTGGGACGCGGGGGCGCGGCGGGCAGGCGGCGGGCGGGCGGGCGGGCGGCGTGGGGAGAGGCATCTGAGCAAAAAACTCCCAGGGAGTCCCTCCTGCGGCGGGGGCGCCGTGGAGTGCTGGGCGTTGCGCTGGAGGCGGGAGCCGTCGAGCACTGGGTGTTGCATCGGGGATGGACAGACGCCCCTTTAGTAAAGCGCGGTTCAGCGAAAACGACCCGAGGCCCAAACCTGGCGGGCGCAAGCCTGGAAAATAAACGGCCACGGCGCCCTCTCGAGAGCCGGAAACGGACAATTCACCAATCGACGTGTCACTGTTGGGGCTTCTGTCCACCCCCGATTGCATTGGAGACGGACGCTGTTGAGCACGGGGTGCTGTGTGGGCAGGTGGGCGGACGGGTGGATGGGGGGCGGGCGGCGGACACGGGCGGCGGTGGGGCGGGCTGCGGGCGAGGGGATCGGGACTTGAGAGAACACTCCGAAGGGTTTTTTGCTGCAGCGGGATGCTGCTGAATGCAGAGTGCTGTGTTGGAGACGGAGGCTGTTGAGCACTGGGCTTTTTCATTGGAGACGGACGTTGTTGAATACTGGGTGTTGTGCTGAACTCGGAAACACGGCGGGCGGGCGGCGGCCGGCGGGCCTCGAGCAAACCTCCGGTCGCGTTCGGACTGGCGTGTGGACTTGCTACTGGTCTTTCGCGGCCGCAGGCGGAAGCGCAGGCGGCGTCCAAAGTCAGCCCGGGCTACGAGCCAAACCCAATTGCCTGAACGCGCGGACAAGCAGCCGTCAGAGCCGCCGCCGAGGGACGCCCGGCGACGCCAGAGACTCAAGGCAGAGCTGCAGGAGGTGCGATCGACGCGAAGCGTCAACGATTTACTCTCGCCCCTTTGCGTCTGGACGGGCTAGAGGAGATACGCGAAACGTCATCAATGTACTCGCCACTTCTTTGATGGATCACCTGCAGGCTGGCCCCAGGATGGCCCCCGATGCTCGCCACCAAAAGGCACCCAGGAGGCCCCTAGAGGCTTCTAAGGGGGCCCCGAAATGACTCCCAAGAGACCCCACAAACGCTTCAAGATGCTCCCCCGCAGCACCCAAGACGCTCTGAGAGGCTCCCAGACCCGCCAAGAGGCGGCCAAGACGCTCCGAGAGAATCCACAGAAACTGTTCAGAGACATCCGAAAATTCTCCGGAAGGCATCCATGAAGCCATTGGCCATTCTGCTCGCCTCCTCCTCCTATTGCCTCGCCTGTCCCTTTCTTTTCCCGTGCCCTTCCTCCTTCTCTCCAACTCGGAAGATTTTCGGGAGGGTCAGAAATATTTTTGCTTGTAATTGTGGCGCCCCAAAACCCCAAATAAACCATGAACAAAAAACCCGAGGGGCGTTTTTCTGCGGTTCCCCTCCAGAGTCTCCGGGAGACGGCGTTGGTCGCAGAACCCGCGAAAAACTATCGAAAAGCCCCCCTCAGTTAAAATTTTCTGGCTGTTCCCCCCCCTGGAGAATCCTGGAGCCTGGGTTGACCAGAGAACCCCCGGAGAACCGAGAAACCCTCCAGATTGGGAGTTTCGGGGGAGTTGTCCGAAACATACTATTGTTCTTCATTGTGGGCCCCCAGAACCACCGAAAATCATTGAACAAAAACTAGGGGTCTATGGTTTTTTGTCGAGGGTCCCCCCCCCAGAAAATCCAGGAGCCTG